AAATACCGAGGAAATCAAATACAAGAAGACATTTTCAGGTTCCTTTCTATTATTTAGTCCGGAACGGCTTCCCTATTGTTTTCGTTTATAGCAGGTTAGTGTTGTGATTATCACGATTTTGAGAGCGTTAGTACTCAGCGCTGATGAAAAGCCCGAAAATAATTTTTATACCAGGTTTTACACTGACGTTTCCTCTTTCGAAACGTCAGAATTTTAGGTGTTTCGGTGTTTTACCGGGTAGGGAATTTGCCGGTTGAAAAAGTGTGCATAATTAAGAATTTTGAGGAAGCGAATTTTAGTGATTTTAAGCGGCTCGTCATGACCTTGAAAATTAACCCACAGAAGTATAATTGGCCTCAAAAGACTTGTAAACCCGTCAAAAATACATTTCCAGGCTCAAAATGGAGTTTTATTGAGATGCGGATTGAACAGAGCGAAGTTTATGTTACGGTATTTGTCACTGAATTTTGCGTGTTTTTGACCGGACGAGGGAAGGTAACGAATATGTGATTTTTTGGCCGGTTTAAAACTATTTGAAGAAAACAAAACGCACCACGTTTCTAGGCTTACCATAGGCTATCTCTGGGTGAAATATGAAAAATTTTGATTTTTCATCATGTGCCACATATTTTCGATATGGCTCGGTCCTAGTGGACATTCACTCTTAAACAGGCTAATATTACTAGACTTCTATTCTTTTAACATTCCACAGAAACTCGAAAAAACTAATAAATGGATAATTCACTTCGTTTTATTACGATCAATCAACACCTTGAATTCAAAGTTAAAATCATATCCAAAACAATCCTAATAACTGGTTTCACTTCTTACACTACTAGGCCATTTGCATGATGGCGTCATTTTACTACTATCACCAGGATCCTTCAGGGTTTTGCTTTCTTGTGAAAATTAGGGCTTTTGTTATCTAAACCTCACCGGGGCTACCAAACTTACATGTGAAACAGTTACACCAATCGGAGTGATCTTGGCAAACAGGAAAAAACAGAAATTTATTAATTTATTTATTCTCGCCACGTGTCCTGCTAACGGAGATGGAGATGGAGGTGACACAGTCAAGTCAAATTTCCTGGTTATGATATTTTACGCAGCTTTTGGAAACACATTAACGGCCCTACGCAGACAAGCTAAAGATTTTCTGACCCTTCGTCTAAACAGTAAGTATATACCTCGTTCATTGCTGGCGACCGGGGTACCCCGTATCGAGATGATCCCCAAATCGACACCGAAATGATACCGACCCCGAAATGATACCCATTTCTCTTCACATCGTCTCCGAAATGATCGCCAATTAATTTTAGGAATGGAATGATATCCTAGAACTCTGGATCGAGCAAAATGCACATACAAGTAGCCCGGGTTATAGAGAAGAAGATTGCATGGATGTAAATTCTTAAAATGATGTTAAAACTGGATGCCTTGGATAATAAATTTTAAAAATGGTGTTTTAACACCTTTTAAAATGATATTGAAGAAGGCGATTAGATGACAAAAGAGCTAAAAAATCAAAAAAACTGTAGTGAAATGTTAAATGCGATTCAAGAACATAAACGCTGCAACAGACTTGTAATAATTTCGTGGCGGAATACCATTCCCGCGCATTCCAAGATCAAGGCTGTAAGGTGTTTTCGATTGGTTATTGTATAATATAACCATAAGCAGCAAAAGCTCTCTGGAAGAAATGTGGAATTATTTAATTAGTTCCATCGTCAAGGACAGCACTAAGGGTATTTATCTTGCTGCTCTTTTAAGTTTTGTGTTTATCAGTATTTCGTTGAAATGTAATTTTTTCGTTTTTGTTTTTGCAGATGTTCTGCTTTGTTTTTACTATGTATTTCAAAGCTATTCTGGCGTGTTAATGAGGATATATTCTTTAAAGTTTGAAGGTGCCAAAGTGACGCTTAACTTTTCCCACCTAATTAAGTTGTAATTTTTCTTTTGGCAAAGTTGTGCGTAGTAACGTTGATTTTAGTCTTTTGTCACTAAATGCTCGAGGGATTCGTACTTTGGAAAAGCGGAAAGCAATTTTTAGCTGGTTTTTAAATTCTGGCGCCGATATTTGTTTTCTGCACTGAAGAATCCTACAGTACTCAAGAAGTCGAAAATATCTTGAGAAAACAGTGGAAAGGAAACATGTTCTTTTCGCACGGTAGCGGATAACTTTGACTTTCAACTACGATCTATCAAGGTTGATTCTCAAGGTCGCTATGTTTTCCTAGAGGTTTCCATTCAGGACTCACCATACTTTCCTTTAAATATTTATGCTCCAAACAAATGTAGTGAACAATGCACCTTTTTAAAGAAATATCAGAAATTTTGAAAGCTGCTAGAACAGAACAGGATTACCCAATTATCGTCGGAGGTGTTTTTAACGTCATACTTGACCCCGACTTAGATAGACGGGGCGGAAAAAACAAAAAGAAAGACTCCGCAAAATTAGTTGAAGACATGCACCTTGATTTCGAGCTGCTCGATATCTGGCGTATTAGGAACCCCACCGCATCACGATTTACTTGGAGCTACTTGGCGTCAAAAAACTTCGGTTGTACAGAGACGTCTAGATTATTGGCTTATAAGCGAGAGTTTGCAAGATGAGATAATTTCAGCGGAGATTAAAGCATCAATAAAAACAGACCATTCGGCAATAACTCTTTCAATTAACGGTTTAGATGAAACTGAGAGAGGACCGAACTTCTGGAAATTCAATTTGAACTTAGTAAATGACTCGGACTACTGTGAACTTTTAACCACTGAATATGTGAATTGGCCATGGTTAGAGGAATCTTAAGTGGTTCAGGGTAAGCGTGTTTTATGGGATTTAATTAAATACAAGATGAGACAGCGAACAATCACGTACAGTAAAGGTAAAGCCCGTGAAAGAAGAACAAAACTACAAAAGGTGGAAGATACGCTGAAGGAATGTACAGAAAAATGTGATATTGATCCAAATAGTGGAAATCTCGAGGAACTGGAGTTTCTTCAAACAGAATATGATCAAGGTACGATTACATTACACAAGGGGCAATCATTCGCTAGGGGCAACCTGGTATGAAATGGGTGAGGAAAACTTTAATTGCGAAAGACAGAAACCACGCTTATGATGTTTCCTACAATTAACCGTGCGTCTAACTTCAATATTTTTGATTGATCCCAACACCAAAGATGTCGGTGCAAAAATCTTTAGTCAAAGACTAAACTGACCAGCAAAGGTTTGCTAGTAGAATCTACAGTTTGTTCAGCTGTTCTGACAGCTTGTAAACACAGCCGTTTCTCCCTTAATTAACANTTGATCCAAATAGTGGAAATCTCGAGGAACTGGAGTTTCTTCAAACAGAATATGATCAAGGTACGATTACATTACACAAGGGGCAATCATTCGCTAGGGGCAACCTGGTATGAAATGGGTGAGGAAAACTTTAATTGCGAAAGACAGAAACCACGCTTATGATGTTTCCTACAATTAACCGTGCGTCTAACTTCAATATTTTTGATTGATCCCAACACCAAAGATGTCGGTGCAAAAATCTTTAGTCAAAGACTAAACTGACCAGCAAAGGTTTGCTAGTAGAATCTACAGTTTGTTCAGCTGTTCTGACAGCTTGTAAACACAGCCGTTTCTCCCTTAATTAACATAAGATATTTGACATATAGTGGAAATTTTGATTTCCGAACCGACCTAAAAGCAAACTTATTTATATATTATGTATCACTGAATACAGTTAAAATGCCCAACACCGAAATAAATAGAAGACACTGAATAAGTATTAATGATTACGAAGTGAAGCGCATACAAGAAAACAGACTGAGCAGCTGCACACGTGATTAAGTTAAGTAAGTTAGTGCTTCAACTAGTTAAGTTTTTCTGTATGTTATTTATTTATTTAATTTTTCATTCATTCATACACTCTGACTAATATCTAACGATGATTGAGGTGGTGCGCGTAGTTAATCACGTTCTGGCTTTTTGGCAATGATGTAATTTTCCCCGAATCAAGGCCCTTGATTTTCGTGTATTCATACACGCGTGCTAAAAAAGCAAATACCCTGAAGAATACTCGACCGTCGATAAAGTAGGACGTGAAAATATTATACCGGAGGAAATCCTGTTCCGTGGTGTACTGAGGCATTACGCTTCTCAGAATATTGACGCAATTACTCTAAATAGATTTGGTGTTGCAGATTCACTTTGTTGTATGTATTCAATTGATGGTTTTTCGAAGTTTTGAAGATGTGAAGTCGCGTTGCACTTTATAAATACTTGAGATATCAATGATTTTTAAAACCTTCAACTACTCGTCTGACTTTACGTATCATATGTTATGGATGTGTTTATAAGGTTAGCTTTGTACTTCACTATCACGCACTCTACTTACAGCACTTCACCGGCCAATGGAAACTACTAGTTTACAAAATGAACTAGGCTATTTATTTTCGAAGTTCTCTAGTTTGGGGAATGTGTATTTGTTTTTCATACTGACGTCTTCATTGATGTTTCCTTGACGTTGTACATACACAACGTCTCGATCTTTGCCTCGTTGTATTGCCTTTGATTGTGGAAGATTGCTTGAAATCACAGCATTACTGCCTAGACATCAATGGAAATTTTCACTTTAGATTTATAAACTGTAACGATTGAACTAAGTTTAGTCTGACTATTCTATGTACCTTTTCAGGCAGTCAGAAGTTAACTGTGTAACCTATGCCTATACACTGGTTCCTTAAGAATTTATCTCCTCTTCATTTCTTATCCAATTTCCAAGAAATCTCGATTTAACACTTTAAGAGTGTCTTGTCTTTCATAAACTGCTGTCACTGCTCGCCACGATTAGCGTGTGCCATTTGCGGACCGTGACAATCATGTAAGGTTAATTAATTAAAGTTAGGTTAATATGTTAATATTTGTAATCCGCTCAGACGTGCTAATATAACAAGGTCGTTGTAAACTTATTGTTGTTGTTATAACATTTTAGATGTTATCAAAAATGGCTTCACTCCGTTGTTGCAAGTCACACAAGCTAAGCAAGAAGACTGTCACCATGGTAACCCTGTTGGTTGCTGTTGTGATCTACATTGGTGCTAGTTTGGTGGATGTGGACGGATATACAGGAAACAAGTTCTGGGCGTCCGTTACTCCTTGTTTCAGGTCCAAACAACATACCGCTCGCTTGATAGAACTCGCCCACAAGACACATTTGGTCTTAGACAGTATGGAAGTTGACCATTGGTTGATGTACGGATCCCTGTGGGGTCCCCTGAGGGGCATACCAGGCCCCCTCCCATGGGATCATGACGTTGATATTGGCATAGACGGAAATGGCAATTTTACTAAGATACCCCTTAAAAATTTCAAAGCGAAATTTGAGGCTGCCGGTTTGGGACTTATAGATAAACTTCAAGAGAGTAGATATTTATCAGTCAAAGGATACGGCGAAAGTGTAGGATTATTTCTTTATTATAATCATCGAGGCACTATGATGCGATCTGGCTATGAGTCGTGGCTATTTTACATTCACTACAGATTCCGCCATAGTTTTCCCGCCAAACTTTTACAGCGCCCCCTGCCCAAGGTCAAATTTGGCTCCTTTAACATTTCTGTTCCAAGAGGGGGTATAGAGATAATGAAGCATTTATACCCCACTAATTGGTGGAAGGTGGTCAAGCCAAAGAGCTGTAAAGATTAGTGATAAAATCAGGTTCAATAGAGCGGTTTTCATTTGAGTGTCGAAAAGTAATTGGTTTTGCACTTTCTACACGATGCGATTGGCTTAAAAGATTCGCGCCACCTTTTCATCCAATCAGAAGTAAAACCAAAGCCAATTGTGACGCGCTCGCATGCATTTTCCCGCGCTTTGCGTCAGCCACATGTAATTACTTCGAGTTTTGATTGGTTCAATGTATTGTCTGTGTC